CTCAGGAGAAATTTGGCTCTGCCGTCGGCCGTTGCGATTCCTCTCTCGCCGGCCCCGCCGCCCGAGCGCGACACCCCTGAGGCTCGCACCGCATCAGCCGAGGGGCGTGTCGAGGGGTTTGCGGCGGCGGCGCAGGCGGGCGAGGCGTCTGGGTCTGCGTTGGAGGCCGGCCTCGAGCCCTTCCTCGCGGAGATCTCGTTCGCTCTCGGCCCGCTCGCCGAGGCCGGCACGCCGCCGCCGCTTGGGCCCGACGAGATGACGTGGCACTTCGGGGGCGGCAGCACCTTCGACGAGCTGCTTCTCTCTGGCTCGGCGACACCGCCGCTGCTGCAGACGCGTCCGAATCCGGAGGCAAGTGTGCCGCCGCCCTCCATGCCGCCTTCGCCGCCGGCCACAGCTGGCTTTTTCCGGCACGTGGATGTCCGCGCAACACTGTTCAGTCAGCACGCCCTCGGCGCCGCCGTCGCTTGCTCCTGCGCCGTGCACGCTCTCGCCAGCTATCGGTCCGACGCAAGCAACCAGGGCGACAGCGTAGTGGAGGTCAACATCTGGGGGCTCATGCTCACTGTCGTTCTCGCGTATGCTCTGGCCAGGGCGTACGGCAGCTATCGCAGGGCCGCGCTCACCATCACGTATGGCACCACCGTGGCATCGATCTTTACCCTCCTCTTTGATGCGCTCCGGCCCGTGGAAGGAACGACTGCAGCTCTGGGGCTAGCCGCGTTTGCCGACGCGCCCGTCTCTGCGGTCGGCTGCCAGTTCGCCTACGGCCTCCTCCTCGGCGTGCAGCCACTCAACACCTCGGTACGAAGCAAGAACCTCTGCGCCACAATTGGCATCTGGGCGACCAATCTGGCCAGTATGCTCCTCCGCACGGGGGACGCGGCATTCCTAAGCGTGCTGCTCGCACGCACCGCTCTTCCACTATCGGCTGGCTTTTCGGCCGGCGTGGGGTATACGAGGTGGAAGCGGGCTGCTGCTGCAGCCGACCCTGAGGCCCGCAGCCTGCTCGAGCCACCTTCGCCTCCGCCTGCTCCGCCCGGGCCTTCGGGCGGCCCCTCGAGCGACCCACGACCCGATGTCGAGCAGGCGGCGCCCAGGCACCGAATCACCCAGGAGGAGCGGGTGATGATCTCGCGTCAGGAGGCGGCCTTGCGTGCGACGCAGATCGATCCGGCAGGCTTCCTCTCTAGGTCGGTCACTAAACTGCTGGAGTGCTTGACAATGGAGGACTCGGAGAAGGATAGAACACACACAAAGGAAACGAGTTGATCGTTGAGTTTTTGGACGTGCCGGGAGGCACGATGTTAGACATGACAACATGCTGCACATGTGTTACATATTGTGCCTTTGTGCGCTTTAACCCTATGTTCCTGAATAAATAAATAAATACAAACGGTAACGGACACGGCGACACCTCTCTAGACTCTCTACTGTGAGTAGAGCTGTCAAACGTTAACTTTGGGCCTAACAGTTGCACTATTGTTGGCTGAAATCCTTAACGTTGTTCAAGTGTTCATCCCAGCCCATGCTGTTACTGTTTGTTACTGTTGTTACTGTTGTTCAGCGGCCAGCAAGCAGAAAACGGCAAAAACCCCGGGTAAAACCCGAGAATACCCGGGATTTTCCAGGTATTTTCGGGTATTACCCGCACTGGACGCTGGAGATCGTCGTGGGTCACTGCAAGGCATTCCTTATTGTTGTTCAGCCGGCCTAACGTTAGCTACTGTTGTTGGGGAGCCCAACTGTTGTTCTGTTGTTACTGTTAACACTAGCAACACTGTTCAGCTCTTAACGTTTGACAGCTCTAACTGTGAGATGGGTGAAAAGGAACAGGTCCCCGCCCGTGCGATGGATCTTTGTGCAGTCTGTTCCTGAAGAGTGCTGGTTGGCAAAAATTAAATATTCTTAGCTTCTTGCCCCCCTCCGAGACTAGGGACAGTCACCATCCGTACACAGGAGAGATGGGAGTGCGCCTCGCCCCTGCTTGCCCTGACTACACAGGATAGCGTGCCCCAATCGGCGACACATAGCGGGGGACACTGCGCAAGGAGGGGGTGCGACGGCTTTTTCTTTGTCCTCTCGAGGGAATGTTCTCTCGGCGCCCATGGCCTTCTGAGGTTTCGTACTGATGACGTCCTTCTTGGCACTTCGGGCGTCGGTTGTGCGTATCTGTTGTGTCTATTCCCCCGGTAATGTGCTACGGGTATGGGTCGCCGGTCGCACGCTGCCGCTAGACCATTTCATCTACTCTGCTTACTTCGGCCGTCGGCCGCTCGATGGTCGACTTGCTTCCGGATCGAATCGGCAGATTGACCCTTATAATAATTTTTTCCACACCTGAGCGGGCCCAATTTTGCTCAGATGCACCTCCGAATTCGAAATCGTGTCCTCACGCTTAGCGTTTGGTGTGCGTTCGTTTTCGTCACGGGTCGCTTTTTGCATTAGAGTGCTGGTTGGCAAAACAATAACGGCGGCGCACAGCTCAAGGTGACTGTGCGCTTCTGCGCGGGGACCACCCCGGCGGCGGGACGGCGGCCGACCGTACCCTCCGCAGGCAAGCGGCGTACGATGCCACCTCCGGCTGGAGGGCGGCACAGAGGAAGCTCGCCTGGGGGCGGGGGCCCCCGCCCCGAGGGGCGGGGGCAGGTTCGTCGCTTAGCGCGATGGAGTCAATCCTTGTTGCCAAGTCGGCGAGCGTGTTGTGTATCGAGAGAGAGACCATAGCAGATGCGAGAGCGGCGTCGTCCGGGGAGAGGGGTGGTGGGGGAGGGTCAACATCGAGGGCAATTGCGCATCGCGCTCCCCGATCGTCTCCGATCTCCCTCGCCTGCTCGCTCGGCACGTACTCGGACCATATCGTTCGAACTCGGGGGGCACGGCGACCGTGGGGACCCCGGTCCCCGCAATTCCCTTCCCCCCTCGGAGGGCCGGACAGAGGCGTCGAGGGCCCCCGCCGCTCTTTCCCTCGCATAGCGGCCACTCTTCGGATCGCTGGTCGAGCGACCCGGGGGATGCCCCGCGCGCCTGACCCAGGCGCGAGAAACGAATATCTGCGAGGCGCGCCCCCCCCCCCCTTGCCCGGGGGGGCGAGGGAACCCGAGAGCCGTGTATCGCGCGCCTTGCGGGGGGGGCGCGGAAAAGAGGAACCTCTTAGCGCCATCGCCATGGTGCTGCAAGCAGCGTGAGGCTAATACTTGCCTTTCGGGGAGGGGCCTCTGTTGGAAGGCGCGCAAGCACGCCCTACGAGCTACGTGGCCCAGTAGCTACGTCTTCCCCTCCTCCCTCGAGGCAGCGAGTAGGCAGCGAGTAGTGAGGGTGGAGGGGCCTCAGGAAAGGCGCGCATGCAGCCCTACGTCTTCCCCTCCCCCCTCGAGAGTACCCATACGCTAGACGAGCGAAGGCGGTGGCCATAGTCGAGCGGTGGCCCGTGGTAGCCTCCAGCAGTGCCAAACCGATTTCATCCATGTCCCGCCGTCTAACTGCCATGTCACGGCCGGTCGGCTGGTGCTCTCGCCTCGCTGGCGGCGCGGTCTGGTGCCGCGGCGCCCAGCTCTCCTGTGGGCTCGCGGCGGCTCGCCGCCGCGGTGCCGAACAATGTGATCAGTCCGCATTCGTCCCGGCGTGCCGCCGGTGCCGCTTCCTCGCCGAATTTTGGCTCGACCAGTTTGTCGACAAAGTTGCCTCCGAGCTCATGCTGCTCGACTGCGCGGCGGAACCGGCCCATCGCGGCTGAGACGTGATGCGCCGGCACCGGGGCAACGGCGCGGGACCATTTCCAGGCTCTCTCGAGCAACCTCAAATTTGGCCGATTTTGTGGATCTCAACCCTGCTGCTCTCAGACCACAACCTCGCGGCCCGCTGCGCGGCTCTCCGAGCGCGAGAGGAGTCGTCTACGAGGCGGCGGCGAGCGCAGGCGGCGGCGGCGCGGCGGCGCGGCGGCGGATCGCGGCGCAGACAACGGCAGCAATCTGGCTGCTGCTTGCTGCTGCAGCAGCTGCTGCTGCGGCTGCTGCTCCGCTGCCGCTGATTGTGGACACGATCCCCCCGATAACCCTGCCCGCCCGCTCCGCCCCGCCCGCCCGCCTCTCCCCGCTTGCCCGCCCGCCCGCCCGCCCGCCCCGCCCGACCACCCATTCCCACTCCGCCCCGCCCGACCACCTCACATACCTTCATATAGGCGCTCGAGACCTCCTCTCGCTGCCTACTCGCTGCCTCGAGGGAGGAGGGGAAGACGTAGGGCTGCATGCGCGCCTTTCCTGAGGCCCCTCCCCGAAAGGCAAGTGTTAGCCACAAGAAACCGAGACCCCTCCCCACCGCCCTGATCCCCCCACCCCCTTGCTCCCCTCCCCCCCTCGGGAGGGCCGAACTGAGGCGCCCGTGGGGACCCCGCACTTCCCTTCCCCCCTCGGAGGGCCGGACTGAGGCGTCGAGGGCCCCGCTCTTTCCCTCGCATAGCGGCCACTCTTCGGATCGCTGGTCGAGCGACCCGGGGGATGCCCCGCGCGCCTGACCCAGGCGCGAAAACGAATCTGCGAGGCGCGGCCGCTCATGCGGCCCGATGGGGAGGAGGGGAAGACGTAGGGCGTGCTTGCGCGCCTTTCTGAGGCCCCTCCAACCCACCCGCGCTAGGTCTCGGGGGACGAAGGGGTCACACCCGACGACCTCGGGAACCAGCCGGGGCAGTCGGAGAAGTGGCAACTCCGTGCACTGACGGTCGGCCGCCAGAAAACACGCCTCCGTGGCTCGGGTTACACCAATCCTCGCTACCCAACGCGGCCAAAGGATATCCACCTCGAGAACCTCGAGAACCAGTAGTGCCTCTCAGTTCGGCACCTCGGTCTCGACCACGACCAGACATACCTACAACGACCAGACTGGGAGCGGCACACGCTTATGCCATACCATACCCCGGAAGAAAAAGTTGGAACGCTGACTCGCGCCCCCCGGGGGCCCCCGGCGGTAGGGCCCCCAGCTCGACAGCGATGGTTAGTACCTCGATGGAGGTGCTGCACCTACGCGTGCGTGTGCTCTTCTTACCGCACGCGCTCGTGCCGAGGCACCTCCATGCGCTCCTCCGCATCCTGTTCTTCTCGCGCCCGGTTGGTGAGCGCTTTTGCCAGTGCTCGGTGGCTGTTGACGGCGTGAGCCTGATCGGCAGCTCGGATGAGCTGGAGTGCCTCCTCGCCCGCGAGGGCGTGCTGGTCGACCCCAACGAGTGGGCAGTGGTGCGCGTCTGCGAGGGCCAGAGCGGCTTCGAGTCGGTCGGCGTGATCGAGCGAATCACCGGGCCGCTCGCCGCCGCGGCGGTGCCCGTGCTGTACGCCAACACGTGCTGCACATGTCCGGGACACGTCCAGTCCGAGACATGTCCTACGTAGGTGCCCGTGTTGTACGTCACCACGTTTGCCGACGACTTTGTGCTCATCCCCGCCTCGCGCGTCGCTGACGCGACCGCGTGTCTCGGCGCCGCCAGCTGGCGCTCTCTCTAGCTCTCTGCTCTCTGCCTCTCTCTCACGCGCGTTGTGCTGTCTCCTCTCTCTCTCTCTCTCTCTCTCTCTCTCTCTCTCTCTCTCTCTCTCTCTCTCTCTCTCTCTCTCTCTCTCTCTCTCTCTCTCTCTCTCTCTCTCTCTCTCTCTCTCTCTCTCTCTCTCTCTCTCTCTCTCCCCCCCCCCCCTCTCCCCCCCTCTATTTCTTTCTCCCACTTCGCGCTCTCTGTTCTCTGCTGTAGCTCTCCCTCCCTCCCTCCCTCCCTCGCACCCCCTCTTTCTCATGCGACAGTCCTCCTCTCCTCCGGAAGACACACCTCTCCGTTCACGGAGGTGCCACGCGGCGCCACAGGCGCTGGTCCGCGTCGTCGTCGCCTCGCTCAGGGCTGCGCCCAGACCGAGAGTGATGAGCTAGTGCGAAGTACTTACGGAGACCTGCATGAAGCAGCTGTC